GAAGCGGTGCGTCGGTGTGTGCCCAGGATCCGAACCCGGGCTGCCAGTAGCGGAACGCGTGCACTTAACCGCTAAGCCATGGGGCCGGCCCAAAGTATCAACTTAAAAAGCCAATTCGCCTGTTATTTTATTCTCAAAACAAGTTTATTCGGGAATAGCCAAAAGAACTGCAATTCGGGATGTGCATGCTACAGGGAACCACAGGCAAATCCAGAGAACAAAGGAGGGGAGCTGCTTTTATAGAGAAATAGGGGAAGTCAGGAGGGGCTGTTCTAAAGGAAAGTCTATTGGGGGAAAGTAACAGTTCCAGGCAGCAACGGCTTCTCATTGGCTGAGCTGTGGTGCTTCTCATTGGCTGGGCTGTTGCCAGGTGGGGAGAGAAATCTTCCTTCAGTAGTAAAGTAGTTGTACTTCCTGTGGGAGATGAGAGCCTCCATCTCTTCCTGTTGGGGTGTAATTGACATGTATGATAGGGCGTGAGAGTGTCTCCTACAGGCCTTCCCGACTCCAATTTAGTTAAGATTTCTTTTCTTTTCTTTTTTGTGAGGAAGATCAGCCCTGAGCTAACATCCATACAAATCCTCCTCTTTTTTTGCTGAGGAAGACCGGCCCTGAGCTAACATCTATTGCCAATCCTCCTCCTTTTTTTCCCCTTTTTCTCCCCAAAGCCCCAGTAGATAGTTGTACATCGTAGTTGCACATCCTTCTAGTTGCTGTATGTGGGATGCTGCCTCAGCATGGCGGGACAAGCAGTGCGTCGGTGCGGGCCCGGGATCCAAACCCGGACTGCCAGTAGCGGAGTGCACACACTTAACTGCTAAGCCACGGGGCTGGCCCCAAGGTTTCTTTTCTTAATTTCCATATAACCAGCAAGGAAATCTTGAAAAATGTGAAAATAGAGGCAGCAGGGACTCTCTGGCCAGGAGCTCTGGCCCAATTGTGATCTGCCCGCTGGCTTCACCTTGTGTTCCATTAAAATGGTAAAAGTAACTGCAGAAAATTTCTAATTAGAGATGTGCACAGAGATTTCTGCACGAGGACGCTCATCAAAGTACCTCTCCTAAAAACATCAGAAATAGCCTTAATGTGTACGGGAGTTTTTAAGCATGTCCTTGAATTTTTTGATACCTCTTCCATGGAGAAGTGGGGTCTGTGCTTCCTCCCGTTGCATCTGGGTGGGCTCATGGCTGCTTCGATAGAGAGCGTAAGTCAGAAGTGCCTCTAGGTGACTCCAAGGCTGGGTCAGAACAGACCGTCAGCTCCACCTGGTTCTTTTGGAGCACTTGCCTTCGGAGCCCTGAGCCAGCACATAAGAAGCCTGACTTCCCCAAGGTGGTCATGTTGTGAGGAAGCAGTCAGCATGAGTACTAACCAGCCACCGTCCGTCACTTTCCCCACCACCCACAGACACACGTCCCAGCAGGCCAGCTCCAAGGCAGGAAGGAAGCTGAAAGCTTAGGATATCTGTTCCTCCATTTCAAGAGATTCAAGGATAATGGATACAAGAAAGGGTAGGAGAGGGGGTGTGGAGGGGTGGACAGCCCTCTCAGATGCCCTCGGGAGATGCCCAGTGGAGTAGGTGGCAAGAGCAGCTACAACCCTGTCACCCGCCAAAGGCATTCTTGTATTACCCACAGCTCTCGTTTATTGAGCACTCACTGTGCCAGGCATCAAGCCACGCACTTTATTCATTTATATACATTACCCCACCTAATCCTCACAACATCCTTAGGAGCGAATATCACCCCATTTTCCATTTGAGGAACCTGAGGCACGGAGATATTAACTGACTCACCCAAGGTCACACAGTTAGTGAATGGCAGAGCAGAGTTTCAAACCCCAGACCAGGTGGCCTCTATCTAGAATCTTCTACTCCTGGAGGTCCTGAACCATGCAATAAGGCAAGGAATAAAAGGCATCTCTGTCTTTATTCCCAGATAACATGATCATGTACATAGAAAGTTCTAAGGAATCTACAAAAAGGCTACTAGAATGTATAAGCAAGTTTTGCAAGGTTGAAAGATACAAGGTCAATATACAGTGCTGGGCTGCACTGCATCCTGTGAAATATGCAGAAAGCCCTTCAGACCGAATATGCAGGCTGACTGGGAGATGGTGTGGCCTACTGGTCAAGGGCATGGCTTCTAGGGTCAGACGCCACTGTGAAACCCTGCTCTGCCACTCACTGGCTGAGTGACATGGGCAAATAACTCTCTCTCTGCTTCAGTTTTCTTATACTTCAAATGGATATTAAAGGAGCATGGGACAAAAAGAGCATCAGCTTCCTGGGTTTGTGGGGAGGATTCCCAGAATGCATGCATTTAAATCCTTAAGCCCAGAAATTGCTGTGGCTGTGTTCTCACACCTTTGTGGGAAGGTGGGGGCGTGCACTCTAGGGATAGGGGCCTGAGGCCTCTTCTGGAAAAGCAAGCAAGATGAGAGGTTAGGCTTTCAGGATCAGGCCTCCCACCAGTGTGCAAATTCTTCAGGACCACAATTCCTGTCTGCTCATCCTTGTACCCAGGGCCAGCACACTTCTGCAGGAGCAGGTCAGCCGCAGGCATAGGAGATGCACTTTACTCTGCAATTACCGCCTGCTGCCACCAGGTGGGTTCCGGAGCCTGGGTTGTGGCCCTTGTGATCTGCGGCTGGGACCTCACAGAACAGAGTCACCTATGGAGACCCATTTATATTTTTGATCAAGGGCCCCTCTGACTTCTCTGCAGGCCCTTCTTCAGGAAGCCAGCATTACTCTCTAGAAGGCACGGCATGTGGGCGAGTTTAATTCTACTTTACCCATCAATATCTGGAGGGATGGGGATTCAGGACAGATAGCTTTGGTCATGGGAACCAGAGGCCTGGGTGGGGGCTGCAGTGAGAGGAGGGTAAGGCAGGGGCCACCAGAGGCATCAGAAGCCTAGTGGTGAGGTATCAAAGGAGAAGCAGGGTTTGTGACCAGAGGAGGAGGAGGACCAAGGGTGACTTCCCAACTCCAGATGGGATCTATAAGTAAACATGCTAAGTATACGTCTCTGCCTGTGCCCCCTCTGCCAGGGTGCAAGACCAGTTCCCCCAGAGTATGGGAATCTTTGGGAATACACACCTGAAGCTCCAAATGGGGATGGCATGTGTGTACAAGTGTGAATTCCAGTGTCTGCAGGTGTGTGTGTGTGCACAGCTAGATAAGGATGCATAGAGAGGTGTGCCTGAGGGTGCCAGCGGGTTGGAAGGGTGACACCCTCATGGCTGGCATGAGCTGGAACACAGGTGTGAACTCACACTCCCTAGCATGCACACCTCCTTCCGGCCAGGAGAGGCTGGGCCTTTTTGGACTCTGAAGCACTTGGCATTGCAATGATGGCCTCCCTGTTCCTGTTCTTCCTCCAGGAGGATCTGGAAATGGAGACCCAGAGCATTTGGAAATTCTAGGCATTGGGAAGGCACTTGGTGGCCATCTTGGCCCGCCCCCACTGGCTGCTTCAATTTCTTCAAGCTGTCCACAAAAAAAAGTAAGTAAAGATTTAGGGGAAGTAACAAAGTGGAACACTGATATTTGAGAGTCCACTGGAAACCAGGAGGAAAGTGGCCCAGCCCCTTCCGAGATACCCGGTTGCTTTGCACAGTGGCCATCTCTTTGGGACTGTGACACCCCAGTTGTGACAGACAGAACTCTCCTTACTGACCACACAATGGTGATTTTCAAAACCAGTAAGTGGAACAATCCTTCCCGCCCCCTCTCCGGCTTCTAGGCACTTTCCATATTTCCTTTTCATGCAGACAAAAGTGTCGACCCATTCATATGCTAAGTGATAAATGTTCCAAGTAATTTTTATTTTAGAATACAAGAGAGGTACAAATGTATTTACAGTTGTACATATACAATCAAATAATATATATCGCAGTTTTGTAAATATCATTTTAGATAAATATTTACAAAGTTAAAGTGACCATTTTCTGGAAGTAGAACACAGTTTCTTGAAAACTCTATACATTTTATACTTTTCATTAATATTATTATAGTTTCTGTATTTTACAAAACGCCCATACGAGAATTCTGGTAAATGACTGCAAGGTGGGATAGGTGACACCAGAGGGCGCCCAGGGCCGGACTTTGGGGAAACTTGGGAGGGGGCAAGGGAGAGTGTGGGCGAGCAGGGCGGACACCCCGGACCCCCCTCCGGACCACCCCCCCGATCCTGCACAGCTCGGAAGTGCTCTCCGGGCAGAGAAGCCAGTCTCGCCCTCCTCTTGCTGGAGCGTGGCGAGTTGGGGCAGGGAATCTTCCCCTTCCCAAGCATGGCGTCAGAGCTGAAGGGGAGGGGGCGTTGGTCCAACTCTCTCATTTTACAGATGGGGAAAAGGGAAACTGAGGCCCAACGAGGAGCAGGGCCTTGCCCGGGGTCCCACAGTGGATTTCCGTTTTGCCTTCATTCTCAACCTGCCTGGCACACTGCAAAGTGTTCGTGCCTCATCCATCCTCAGGGAGCCGGGTGTGGGGGGAAGGCGGCGTGAAGGAGAGAAGGGCCCGCCGGACAAGAAGTGCAGGTCTCTCCGGCCTCTTCCGGCTGCCCGAGCCCCGTAGGCCCCCAGCTCTCAAGATCGTGTCCGTGTTTCCCGACACTGCAGGACACCAGTGCCAAGAGGCAGGAGGCGGAGACAGATGCGCGCACCGCCCGTGCCCCCTGCCCACACTGGGACAGAGAGGTCGCTCTCCCTCCATTCCTAACACGCAGCTCTCTGAGGGGACAGGTGGGGGCCCCCTTCCCCCGCTGAGGGCCCTCGGAGACTTTCAGTCCCCTCTCCTGCCAGCCACGAGGGGGGTGCCAGCCTGGACGGCCGGCTCGACAGGAGGACGGAGACTCACGAGTGAGGCCGGGCATGGGGACCCCCCGAAGAGGCAGCGGCACTAGCTGGGTGGTCTGGGAAAGGGACGTCGTCCCTCAGTGTCCTCATCTGCGAAACGAGGCGAAGAGCATATGCCTGGGGGTCACCCATGGGGCGCACTACAGCGCGGGGGCGGCCCGGAGGTCAAGGCAGAGGAGAGAGCAGCCCGACCCCGCGGCCCTGCGGGC